TCCTACATCTGCGACATATATATTGTTGTTGCAGTAGGCAAGGCCTCAAATATAATTCTATATGCAAAAATCCTTGTTCTAATTGCATATAAATAAATTGATATTAATTCAATATTATCATATTTAAATTTACCTGTGTACGTATATTTTTTTTACGCCATTTTGTCTCAGGCTAGAGGTGTCTTTTTGACATTGTTCCTACATCTTTTGTTTTATTAATATTGTATTTATATTGTGTCATAGATCAAACTTATTCCTTCAGTGTATGTTTACTTATTTTTGTTGAAATGTCTTTTTGATCAAGTTAAGTCATTTCAATTGATATTTTATAGTGTGGCATTTTATTTTGTAATGTTACACTACTGTCTTAGGTTAGGGTGAAGGTTGGCGCCTGTTAAAACGTTTTAACCCGCTGCAATTCAATGCACCTATCTTAAATCAGGAGCCTTATGTTCAGTGGTTGTCGTTTGTTGGTGTGGTTCATAAGTGTTTCTCGTTTCTTGTTTTTATACAGATTAGACCGTTGGTTTTGCTGTTTGAATAGATTTTCACCAGTCATTTTGGAGCCTTTATAGCTTGCTGTTCGGTGTGACTCAAGGCTCTGTGTGGAAGGCCGTACTTTGTTCTATAATTGTTAACTTGTCCTACATTGTGACTTGGACGGAGAGTTGTCTCATTGGCACTAATACCATATCTTCTTATTTATATAGAAATAGCAAGTTAAAGATTATCACAAATCAGTGCTCTTTCTTTCGGTTTAACTTTAAAAAAGAATGAATTTTTGCATAAATAATTCGGAAAATGTTAAGATTGATCAGGGTCTCACTCAAGTTTATTTTAACAAATATTTTTTGCCATTGATTTGTCGAACTTATAAAGTGTAATTTTAATTTTTAGAACTAGGTCGATACCACTGCTGGTGAACTATCAGTCCCTAATAGTATTCTCATCTTAGTAGTCAGTGCTTCGGTACTGACACGATTTATAACCTTAAAACATACGGTTTTGCAATTCTCCGTTTATAAATCAATTTATAAATTATTATGGAAATAAGAGTCAAATTCTTTCAGGGAAAAATGCCTTTGATGGATTTGGCTATTATTTCTAATGTTGATTGTGATAAAATAGTTCTTCATTTAATCAGGTGCTATTGCAACCGTGGCCTACCCATATTTAGATTTTACCGTTCCTGGTGAAAGTCAATCACAAAAAACCGCCTCGGGTGCATAGAATTTATGAAATGCATATTTCATTTTTGTATTTGATTGCTCCTAAAAGTTATGAATAAAAAATTAAAAGGGTGTCACCGAATTATTTTTTAATTATATGAATAGTGGAATTTTTACTTATGAGTATGAATGGTTGATTTTCTAAACTGCGTGATGAAAAAAAAATGGACTTCATTGAAACAACGCTTTGAAAAATGGAAGGACGACTATTAGAATATTTCAGGGTAAATGGGAATCGAAAATATATGTAAATAGATTCATACATGAATGATCTTATGCTTTGCCATGTTTACACTCTGCAACATTATAAAGAACAGATATAGTTTAAACTCAATTGATGTATTGATATATAAAGGCAACAGTAGTATACCGCTTCTCGAAATTCATAAATCGATTGAGAAAAGAAAACAAATCCGGGTTACAAACTAAAACTGAGGGAAACACATCAAATATAAGAGGAGAACTACGACACAACAGAAACACAACATTAAAATGCAACACATACAGAAACGAACTATAATATAACAATGGCCATATTCCTGACTTGGTACAGGACATTTTAAGAAAATAATGGTGGGTTGAACCTGGTTTTGTGGCTAGCGAAACCTCCCGCTTTTATGGCAATGTTAAATATAACATTAAAATGACAACATTACATGACAGGACTACAATTCAAATAAATGGGAGAACATATAGGACAGAGAAACATACGAATAATAGCTAACAAAAGGTACCAGGTTTAAAATTTAATACACAAGACGCGCGTTTCGTCCACACAAGACTAACCAATGACGCTCAGATCAAAAAAGTACGAAAGCCAAAACAAGTACAAAGTTGAAGAGCATTGAGGACCAAAAGTTCCAAAAAGTTGTGCCAAATACGGCTAAGGTTATATGTCTGAAATAAAAAAAATCCTTAGTATTTAGAATAATTCATACTTTTGCAAACAATAAATTTATAAAAATGACTATATAAAAGATATACATGATAACACCGAAGTGGTGACTAACTACGGAATAAAAACGGATACATAAAACAACATAAACCAGCACATAAAAATCCACAGCCGAGTTGATATATCAAGGTGTCCATCGCAGTATCAGATTTAAAAAACGTCTCCATTGAAACTACTCGACTAAAATATGTACTCGAGAATGTGTATGATATAAAAATAAGAAGTGGTATGATTGCAGATGAGACAACTCTCCCCAAGTGACCAAATTACACAGAAATTTGAGTCTATCATTCAACATTTTGTACTTTTAACTATAGATGTATGAAGTACATGATGTAAATGATGTCTGAAAATTGATGGTTAAATGGTTAATTTAGAATATTTGTCTGTCGAGTGAAATTTAACTTAACATATACACAGGCAAATTTTGTTCACGTGAATTTAATGTGAAATTAACGTGAATTTCACGTGAAAAAATTCACGTGAATTTCACGTTAATCGAGCTTATACGCGTAATTCACGTGAAATATTTCACGTGAATTTCACGTTAAACTCACGTGATTTTCACGTGAAATACTGATTCACGTGAAATTCACGTGAAATTTTTCATGTGAAATTCACGTGAATTGAGCCTTCACGTGAAATTCACGTGAACTTTTCACGTGAAATTAACATGAATCGAGCTTCTTTTTTTTAATGAAATTAAAGTGAATTCAGCCTCAATCACACTAATTTCACAGGATTTGAGCTTATTTATGTAAGTCAATTCTAATCTAATACAAATTCTGTTTTGATATATATATAAACATGAAAAATATTATTCTTGGTCTGGACCATGTGTTCATACTTCCATTCTGTTTTACTTTCTTTGTTTCCAAAATTTTTTGGTCTTAAACAAAGAAGGCAAGCAAATGCATCACAGGATATAAATTATATCCAGGGCACCTTAGTTCACTCCTAGAACTTTTTTGGTTGTGTTGAGTCTCAATCCTTTTTTGTAAATGATTTATGGACTGTGGTCATTTATAGAAGTTGATTGCACTGATGTATATTTCATTTGAGTTGATTTTTATTATGTTTGTATAAGTCATATTGTGTGGTCATCAGTTTTGACACAAACCAATCACATTATGGAAAAGACTTACTTGCAAAAGATGCCAATTCTCTTTAAGAAGGTTTTGAAGAAAAAAAATTCGTAAGGGTTCCGCGGAACCCAGTGTCTCGCCTACTTTTGGTGTTAATCGCAGGCTCAACAAAATTGAGGAAAAAAATTAATAAAAATATTCCTCTCTATACTATCTTTTGATTGTAAGTAGCTTCTGTCCAAGTTTGGTAAAAATCCAGGATAATTTATGAATCTAATAAATGTTTTAAAAACTTAAACTGCAGAATGTATGTAATGTTGACTGGAAGAAAAACTAAGTCCATTTATAAGTAAAATATGGAAAAGATGGAACAAAATTTTATCAAAATTTCCTTCTAGATACTAGCTTTTGATCATAAACAAGCTTCTGTCCAAGTGTGGTACAAATCCAGGATAGTTTGAGAAAGTTGTTAAAATTTTAAAAACTTTATCCACAGAGTGAATGTAATGTTAACTGGCAGAAAAACTAAGTCCAATTATAAGTAAAATACGGAAAAAATGGAATTTTTTTTTTACAAAATTTACTTCTGGATACTATCTTATGATCATAAACAACCTTCTTTCCAAGTTTGGTAGAAATCCAGGATAGTTTAAGAAAGTTATTAAAATTTCAAAAACTTTAACCACAGAGTGAATGTAATGTTTCCTGGCAGAAAAACTAAGTCCACTTATAAGTAAAATACGGAAAAAATGGAATTTTTTTTTTACAAAATTTACTTTTGAATATAATCTTATGATCATAATCAAGCTTCTGTCCAAGTTTGGTAGAAATCCAGGATAGTTTAAGAAAGTTATTAAAATTTCAAAAACTTTAACCACAGAGTGAATGTAATGTTTCCTGGCAGAAAAACTAAGTCCACTTATAAGTAAAATATGGAAAAAATGGAATTTTTTTTTTACAAAATTTACTTTTGAATATAATCTTATGATCATAAACAAGCTTCTGTCCAAGTTTGGTAGAAATCCAGGATAGTTTAAGAAAGTTATTAAAATTTCAAAAACTTTAACCACAGAGTGAATATTTGTGGACGCCGCCGACGACGACGACGCCGACGGAATGTAGGATCGCTATGTCTCGCTTTTTCGACAAAAGTCGAAGGCTCGACAAAAACTAGTTCACCTCGCCACTTATTCATGTACCTGCTTAAAGCCAGAAATCTTTTCAGTGGTTGTCAAAAATCTCGTCTTAATAAAAAAAAAATATTCAGAGAATTTGGTGTTGATGGCTATTCTTGATTCATATTGTAATTTTTTTTATAGCCTCTGGTCAATTAAATAGATCATGGCATATCTTTTAGACACCTGTCTTTTGTTGAGGACTGCATGTTAGCACCTTAATGCCTTTCAGGTGTTTTTGTTGTTATATTGCTGGCTGATTGATGTATACCTCATGTCTCATTGTACTAATAAACTAAAATAGAAAGTTCTGTGAAATATAGCTGATATACAAATGTACCATATTGAAAGGCTCTCTGTAATTTACAACCATTTACTTCTTATTTCATATATGCAAAAATAGTTTTTTTCTCATTTTAACACTGATCTTAAGGTTAAGGCAAAATGTTGACAAACAACAGGCATATACCATTAAAAGATCTCAAAGTTTGGCTGCACAATAAGCTAAAAATTCTTGTTATTTCATTTTTTTATATAAAATTCATTTTAAAACATGCATTTTCATTTTTTTACTGTAACTTGTATGTTGACACAATAATTTGAATTTGAATTGTATTATATTCTGAAAGTACTTGTGGTTGAAAAAATATACACAATTGTTAATTCCAGTTGGTTTACGTTTCTTGAAAACACCACTACTATGACTACATGTCTGTTAATAATGTTTAAGAGTCCTCTTCTGCATATAATTGCTATTTGTACCCAAGGATTCCTTCATACATTTGCACTTCTCCTCCTAAGATGTTGCTCCAATGATAAAATCCTGTAATGCATACTTAGCAATCAGACTCTTTGAATACTTCCTACAGTTCCTGTAATATAATAAAATCAGCATGTTTGTTTCTGTAGTCAAGCAAAAAAGATAACACCAATTTAATCTCCAATGATTACCAAACTTATAATTAGGAGATAACTGTTTTGTATTTTAAGCTCAGACATGATCATTGGTGATTTGATGGTGATTTACCCAGTAAAACCCAGTAATTCCCACTGGGCTGGGCAATACTCATAAAACCCAGGTTTTTGCCAACCCTGTTTCAGGACATTTTGTAGCTCGCTATGCTGTATCAGTTTTGCTCATTGTTGAAAGCTGTACATATGATCATTTACAGTTGTCAATATTCAGTCATTTGGACTCTGGTGGATAGTTGTCTCATTGGCAATCATACCATGTCAAATTTTATAATAAATTACTTATGAAAACAAACCACATTACCTGTATATATAAGTATACTTAGTGCCTATAGAAACACAACTCATCATTTTCAAGGCCCCTTCTTACATGTCTTAGCCCCATTTAAATTACAATACTAACACAGTATGTTTATGGCTCTATGCATTCTGGAAACATCTGGTTACCTGATACTTTTCCAGTTAAGAAATTTGTGATTAGCTTCCATAGGGGTATAAATCAAAACTCCAAATGCTCTGAAAATTGATAATCTAGCAGACTGTACATTTTTTAATTACCTCTGCAACGGAGGTGTGGCGGTTCATTATGGTTGAACTTTGCCATGTTAACAAGTTGTACCTCCAAAACTGTAGGAGGAGTTAGCCAGACAAACAAAGTATCCTCATCCGGACGGACAGGGGTAAATTGATATTATTCCCCCTCGACTGTTGCTGGGCATAACTACATGTGCTGTAGCATGTGTAAGGGGACCAGAATTGTGTTTTTATTGGCACTCAGTATAAATTTATATAAAATAGATATCACAAGAGACGAGTAAACACGCTGAAATGTCTTGCATGTTTTACTATTCATGATATATTTTATGTTGATTGTTCTAAACATGCTAAAGATATAATTTTACTATAAGTATGATATATAAACTTAACATAACCAATGATCCATGAAAAAAATACTGTCAAGCAAATAATGCCAAGGTCAGAAAAACCAAGCCAGACAGACATGTGCACCTTACAATCATTGCCTACCCCAAATATCAGTCAGAGCTCTGACATAAACAAGTCAGAATAAAATGACTTCTTCAAGTCAGAAAGTGTTTTGAAATTCTGACCTGTACGCGTCAATTTTTGTTTTGCGTAGTTTTCACTCGAGTCCGTCAAACCAGAAGTTATTTTGAATTTGCCGCCGATCTACGACACATACGATCACGTGGTTTTTTGCAAGAGATCACGTTTTTGAGAGTCGTTGTTTTGGAAGTGTCTCGAACGAGAAGTCATTGAATATTATATTGATTATTTACGATTTTTAGTGAAAATCTAGGTCATTGTGGGCATTTTTAGAAAGGTAATTCATATTACCTCCGTATTTTCATGGTCATTTTTATATTTTTTGCCTATAAAGAAGTTCCTTGCAAGTTATTTTTTTGCTGTTTCATGAAGGCGCGCGACCTGTAAATACGGACGCGTGGTCTTTGAGATGACCTGGTGTTTGACAATTCTGACTTGTTCAGGTCAGAAAATGTTGTTATGATAATGAATTGTTATTTTCGGGAGATAACTCGTGTTGTCTTAAACAATATTAACATTATTAACCAGTCAGTTCAATTTAAAAAGTAAAATTATTGCTTCGAGCTGAACATCGTCACGTGATTTTTCTATTTTTAAACTCAATCACGAATTGATTTTTTAACCTTTCTGATTCGTTTCTCCCTATGTCTATGAGAAAAACGATCATTGTGAATATTGATATGATGATAATGAAACGAAAATGGGAAAAATTTTAATAAAAGAAAAAGGAAGGGAGGGGTTTAACTAAAGAACCCAAGGTTTTTTTTCTTATTTTTAAAGTTATAACTGAACTTGAGAACAATAAGTGATGCACACACCTGGTCTTCATTTATGATCATGGGACATGATAAAACAAATCAAATGAAATGTAGGGCAAGTCTCCAGGGATCACCCCTATCCCTGTCATTTCTCTATTCCTCTTTATAATGTCAAATTGATTTGAATGAAATATACCGGGCTAGTCTCCAGGTTTACCCCCACCCCCTGCCATTTGCAAATGTTCTTATATTTTGTAAACGGTAGAGATCCCCACCCCTAAACCATATATATTCTTGTATGGGACAATTTAACAAATCAAATGATATGTTGAGGAGGTCCCTGGGGGTCACCCCTACCCCTCCTGTTTGAAAACTTGTAAACGGTCGAGATCCCCACCCCTAAACCATATATTTTCTTGAATAGGACAATAAAACAAATCAAATGAAATATAGGGGAAGTCCCTTGGGGTCACCCCCACCCCCTCCTGTGTGAAAACTTGTAAACGGTCGGGATCCCCACCCCTTAACCATATATTTTCTTGTAAGGGTCAATAAGACAAATCAAATGAAATAAAGGTGAAGCCCCTGAGGGTCACGCCACCCCCTCATGTTTGAAAACTTGTAAACGGTCGAGATCCCCACCCCTAAACCATATACATTCTCGCACAGGACAATAAAACAAATCAAATGAAATATAGGGGAAGTCCATTGGGGTCATCCCTATCCCCCTTTTTGAAATGTTCTGGATCTCCACCCCTAAAGGTAAACCATATGATATTCCTGTTCGCCATTTCAAGAAGATTTGAATGACATGCAGGGTCAAACCCTAGGCGTCACTTATGCATATCACTTTACTAGACAAAACCAATTTGTACTGGAACTTGCCCAATGTCAGGCAACCATGGGAATGACGAATTATGGGAGCTTTGTTTGGGAGACTTCGCAACAGCATCCTGTTACAATTATTTCTTGTTTATTTTAATCTGCTGAGAGACCACCTTTACATATTACAAAATGTATATTTATCAGTGTTTGTGCAAACAGAATTGTCTATTCAGTATTATTTTCCTCTCACATGCATCACATCTTATTAATTACATGGATATAGGAAGATGTGGTATGAGTGCCAATGAGACAACTCTCCATCCAAGTTACAATTTATATAAGTAAACCATTATAGGTCAAGGTACGGCCTTCAACACGGAGCACTGGCTCACACCGAACAGCAAGCTATAAAGGGCCTAAAAAAATTACTAGTGTAAAACCATTCAAACGGAAAAACCAACGGTCTAATCTGTATATAAAAAAAAAAATTTTGGCATATTTGTTTTCCTCTGAAATTACACATCTATAATTCTTACCCCAGATGCTTAGCCACATGAAGCATTTACCTCTTATTTGAGACAAAGATAGTCTTTGTTTCTACAGAAGTGAGAAGAACATTGGAAGTCAGAATGTTCTGACTTATAAAAGTCTGAATGTTCTGACTTAATAAGGTCAGAAAGACTCAGAACGATCTGAAAATACTGACTTTTTTTAATGTTTAGAGTATTTTAGAATATGAATGCACTTGTCATGCTAGTACCATAAGAAACTCTGACAAGATTTTGTTCCCAAACAACAATTTTTAAAGATATTAAGAATAACAAGTGTACAATGGAACATAAATTACAAACTTATAAGTGTTGTGAAAAAAGCTATTTAAAAAAAAAATCAATAGATAGTTATCTTTCAACTTTTACATGTATTTAAAAAACAGTGAAAATATTATGGATTATATGTACGGCTTCTTGAAGGACAACAAAGTCACCATATTTGGTCTGAATTTGTATGTTTTTTCTCCTCAAAATTTTGTTAACATTAATAATGTCGGCTTTTTTCTTAACTAATTTTAAACATTCTTAATTATAATTAAATTTCCCCAACATTTTGCTTACAAACTCTTTAATTTCTAAAGTCAAATTGAAAGTTGTCTTCACAGATTCAATGTGTCTGAAAATGTTATATTGAAAAAACAATACTTATATCCTCAAATAAAATGGGCATACCATGAGTTTAATGGTCATGCAGATATGCAATCCAGGATGTTAACAATCAGAGTTTAGATTACAGTCATATAGTAATAGGCAGAGTTTTTCTTATATAATCAATAACCAGAGTAAAGATAATTGATTAATAGAGGTTTAGTTTAATATAAGTAATAAACAAAGCTAATTAATACACTTGCAATCACATACATGTAGTTAAATTAGTAAATACAGAATATTCATACAAAATTCAGACAGAAATACTGTAATAGGTCAAGTCATTAGGGACGACATCAAAAGTTCAATGTAGGATAAAAAACTTAATTCACATCACATAGTTTTTTCACTGACCCACCCACCCCCCCTCTTAACTTAATTTGGGAAAGATTGATTGACCAATATGGATTTATGTAAAATCGATTTTGGATAAACAAAACTTGCAGCAACTTTAACCCCACCCCCAAACTATTTGATTTAAGTTTTTTTTATCCTACATTGGTCTTTTGATGGCGTCCCTTAGAATGTGCTGACTTTGTACATGTTGTAGTGATAGTTATGGCACCCATACAACATATAGGAATCAGTCAAAAGGAGAGAAAAATTCCCGAAATTTGTCGGAATAACAAAATATAGACTCATTAATCTCTCCATCTTTTCAAAAATTATGAACCAGATTTTATGCATATCCATTTAGTTTTTGACGGACTCTTTTAAGTCAGAACATGATTTGACCTGTTTGAGTCAATTTGCAGAACAAAATTTCCAATCAAAGCTATGTGTTCTTCCTCTTAGCCCCCTTCTGAATCTGCCACTGTTGAGTTTATTAATTGATTTTTCCATACATTATCATTAATATCAAATGGCAATGCCTGACTTAATAATTTCAATAAATTTAGTTTTTGACTGATTTTTAAAAGTCAGAACATGACTTGACCTGTTTAAGTCAATTTGCAGAACAAAATTTCCAATCAAAGCTAGGTGTACTTCCTTTAAGCCCTGCAATGCCCGGCTTAAATATTTCAATAAATTAATTTTAGTTTTGGACTGACT